CTATGGCCAAGAGAAAAACACACAATCCAAACACTACTTGAAATGCATGGCTTTGGCCGGGCGCGGTGGCTCAAGCCTGTAATCCCAGCACTTTGGGAGGCCGAGATGGGTGGATCACGAGGTCAGGAGATCGAGACCATCCTGGCTAACACGGTGAAACCCCATCTCTACTAAAAATACAAAAAAATTAGCCGGGCGTGGTGGCAGGCGCCTGTAGTCCCAGCTACTCAGGAGGCTGAGGCAGGAGAATGGCGTGAACCCAGGAGGCGGAGCTTGCAGTGAGCCGAGATAGTGCCACTGCACTCCAGCCTGGGCGACAGAGCAAGACTCTGCCTCAAAAAAAAAAAAAAGAAATGCATGGCTTTGGCTTAGAGGCCAAGTGGCAGATAATAAGAGAATAGATATCAGAGATTAGAAGGATGGTGACCCACATTATGTAGTATAAAAGTACTTTGTAAAACTGTCGTGTGATAGCTTGGAAAGCAGATAATGTACCTAATTAGCTTGTGGTTTTGGGAGTTTTTTTTTAAGTATGGGAAGCAGAAAGTTACTAGCATTTGTCTGTTATCATTGAGTGCATTTAACAAAGTAATACAAGAAAGAAATGACTTTAGACAAGAACTGACCGGTTTGAAAGCAGGAATGAAAGAGAATAGAGAAAATCCAGAAATGTGAACTTCCAACTTATGGGGTTGGAAGAAACATTTCTCATTCCCAAATAATAAACGATAAAACCAAGAAACCTGTTGAATAACAAAGACTGATTAGAACTCCGGTATATGGTGGGGATCAAATCAAGGTGTAAATCTCTAAATAGATTAAGATCTCTCAGAGTGAAAACACCAATTAAGGTTGTGGAACACAGTAAACCCTTTCAATTGGACAAAATAGCTCAAGGAAATGAAAGCAAAAATGTGGCCTGATAGACCCAAAGTATTTGTAATTAAATGAGGAGAGTGAAAGAAGCGTGAGGCTAAGAAAGCAGAGAATAGTAGCAACTCTAAAAAGTAAGTCTAGAAAAGAACTGTGGATGTGTAAGCTTGCCGGAATAAAATAGACAAGATGCCTATTGAGTTTTTCCATTTTACCAGCTAAATAACCACCACTCCAGACTAAAGAGAACATGACTGTTCAAAACTTTAATAATTTTGGTCACAAACATTGATCATAGGAAGTGCACTAGGGAAGCTTTTCAGTTTCCAAGAAGAGATTTCAAATGCCCATTCTAGGTATGGCCAAGAAGAATAATGGAAAAAGAAGAATGTTCAACTGGGAGGCGGAGGTTACAGTGAGCTGAGATCACACCACTGCACTCCAGCCTGGGTGACAGAGTGAAAATCCACGTCAAAAAAAAAAAAAAAAAAAAAAAAAAAAAAGAAGAAGAATGTTCAAGAGCCATAAGGACAATGAGCAGGAGAATTCTTAGAGAATGGAATCAGGACCTAATCCAAATTCCACACCCTTGGAGTATGGAGCACACATCTACTGAATGGGATTTCAGAATTGCTGTGGCCTAGTGACTGCTGTGTGTCTCCCATTCTTTCCCCTCCCAAGTGTAAGAGTTTATTGCAATTATCTTTTTCAAGTTCCACTACTGTATATTGGATGCGTGGGGGTCTCTGCATAAAGAGGAGTAACATTCAGACCTGATGTAGAGCACTTAGGATTCATGCACTTTGAATTTAATATCACAATTGGATGGAACTTTTTGTTTTTTGTTTTGCTCCCTTAAGGATGAGATGACTTTGAGTGTATTTTGTGTGAGAAGAGGAATTAACTAAATACTGGTGGTAAGACAGGTAGGACAGGTAGGATATGCTGGTTATTATTCTGGCTCAGAGATATCTGGTTCTCCTAACTTTTGAAAAGACAGAATTTCCTAGTTATCAAATATATATTTAGATTTAAAAGAGAGCTATATAAGCATATATATGCATATATTTACATTTTAAATAGAGATTGGACAAAATAGCTCAAGGAAATGTTGCCCAGGCTGGTCTCAAACTCCTGGCCTCAAGTGATCCTCCTATTTTGCCCTCCCCAAGTGCTGGGATTACACAGATGAGCCACCGTGCCCAGCCCAAGTCCCTCCTATTTGAATAGGGCCATGTGACTATTTCTGACCAACGAGATGTGAGAAGAAATGACAAGAAGCACTTCTGGGTCATAGCATTTAGTTGCTAATACAAGACTTTCCAGATTTCATGTTTCCTCCCTCTCCTCCACCTCCATGATTCTTGTCTCAAGATGGAGTCTCTAAGTGATGAGGATAAACACAGTCCCCCTGCCAGCCTGTGCTGGATAGTCAGCACGGGTAAGAATTGTGTAGGCCCATGAGGTTTGGCAGGTTGTTTGTTACCATGGCATTACCTAGCCCGTCCTGCCTGATAAATCAACAAACAGCAAGAGGAACTTGTAATTCCACATATGTATCTATCTGACTTATCGTATTGGCAATATCTGGAGTTAGCTCATCTTGGACATACATGTGAAGGCCCCTTTCTTAATATTCAATATATTAAATAGTCAATATGTACTTTTGGTAAGTTTTCAAAGACAGCTGTCCTTCTGTAAAATCTCTAAAACTCTAGGAATAAGCAGGAGAGCCAATACTTGTTTTCTGACATCCAGCCAGACTGCTCTTGGGTGAGGGGGAAAGGAATCCAAAGGAAAAGTATCATTTTCTAAGCTAGAAATATTTATCAAAAAACACATATGAAAATTTAGAATTGAATTATCAATTTTACTGCCTGAAGTGGACTCCCTAAAAAACAAAAGTGACTATTTCAACTTTGTCCTAAATAAATATTAACATAAAATTCTTCCTGATAGGCAATCTGTCACAGACTATCAATGATGTCTTCTGTGCCTGTGAAACTGGCACAATGGAAATTAAAAAGGTACTTTAAAGTTTCCTTCTTACTATTTTTGAGAGCTTTAAATAGTCATTCTATTTTAAAAGAATAATAGACACGAGGGATTTGTTTAAATGGTAAACATGAAGATTTATCATAAATTGTAGTTTTTAGGCACCATCTCTCATTCCTTAAAGGTGAAAATCAGTACTCCTGAGAATAATATAACTTTAAAAACTAAAAATGAAACATCAGAAGCAAAACTCGAGCTTTTCCTTTGGTTTGTTTTAGATGCCAGGCAGCATTCAATAGGTTTAGAACCTTTTCTCAAAGCCTTTCATTTCTGCCAGCGTTTTAATATGAATTTAATTCTGCTGCCAGCTCTTCATGAAACCTACCATGTCAGAATAGAAGTTGTCCAAAGGTTCTTTTTTTCCTTTTCTTTTTTTTTTTTTTTTTTTTGTTTGAGACAGAGTCTCGCTGCAACACCCAGGATGGAGTGTGGGGAAAAGGAAGAGAGATCAGCCTGTTACTGTGTCTATATAGAAAGAAGTAGACATAAGAGACTCCATTTTGTTCTGTATTTGAGATACTGTTCATCTGTGACCCTACCCCCAACCTTGTCCTTGCAAGAGACATGTGCTGCGGTGACTCAAGGTTGAATGGATTTTGGGCTGTGCAGGATGTGTCTTTGTTAAACAAATGCCTGAAGGCAGCTTGCTGGTTAAAAGTCATCACCATTCTCTTAATTTCAACTACCCAAGGACACGTACACGGCCAAAGGTCGCAGGGACCTCTGCCTAGGAAAGCTAGGTGTTGTCTAAGGTTTCTCCCCATGTGATAGACTGAAACAATGCTACTAAAAGGTTTATGGAGATGTTTGCATATGCATCTCAAGGCATAACATTTTCCTTTAAACTTATTGATGTCACAGAGATTTTTGTTCATATGTCTTACTGCCGATTTCCTCTTTTTCTTTGATCCTATTGTCCTGCCACTCCCCTGTCTTTAAGATGGTAAAGATAATTATCAATAAATACTAAGGGAACTGAGAGACCGGTGCCGGCGTGGGTCCTCTGTAAGCTGAGCGCCGGTCCCCTGGGCCCCCACTTTCTCTTTCTCTATACTTTGTCTGTGTGTCTTATTTCTTTTCTCAAGTCTCTCGTTCCACCTTACGAGAAACACCCACAGGTGTGGAGGGGCAGGCCACCCCTTCAATGGAGTGTAATGGCGCCATCTCAGCTCACTACAACCTCCGCCTCCCAGGTTCAAGCAATTCTGCCTCAGCCTCCCAAGAAGCTGGGATTACAGGCGCCCACCACCATGTCCGGCTAATTTTTGTATTTTTAGTAGAGACGGGGTTTCACCATGTTGGCCAGGCTGGTTTCAAACTCCTGACCTCAAGTGATCCGCCCACCTCAGCCTCCTAAAGTGCTGGTGGCATGAGCCACCGCATCCGGCCTAAAGGTTCTTTACCAAAAAGACTTTTACCTTCTCTGAATAGGAATCTTTAATTTTATCATTAAAGTTTCTGCAAGTTTTTAAAAACAGTGAGATGCTAGTAAACTGGGTCTCTTTCCAACTAAACCTTAAGCCCTTGGAGGGCAGGTACTGTGTTTTTACCTCCAGGCATTCCCCAGCATCGAGCATGATGAGTGATGAGTCACTAACTTTGTATTTACCTCTCTCTCCATGCCAAGGTTTTCAAACTCTTATACCAACTGTTTCCATTGTAAGTGCAAAAGAAAGAAAAAGCTAGTCCTTTATGAGCTCTATTTGGAGAGGGGATGGCTTGGAAGGAATCAAGGGGCACGGGGCACATGGCACTTGCGTGAACAAAAATTCAAGAAAAAGACCATGCTCAGCTCTGAGAACCTTTAGAGTTGTGGAGTGAAACACTACACACAGTGGGAAATTGTTGCTCTTGGAGTCCTTCGAATCTTCAGTTGAGTTTACAGGAATCACAAACTGCTGAATGTAACTGCCTTTGTTTTGGAAAATGTTAAGAGTCAAGTCTGCATATTGGTGGGCATGGGGCCACAACTGAATTGGCCCACAAGACCATAACAGGATAAGCCAGCACTAGCAGGTGACATCTGAATCACTTAAGGTTGATTTCAGCAGACATGGCACCAATACACATAATCTATAAACAAAACCTTTTATTACAGTGCATTTATTATAGTTGAAAACATGCAGCAAGCACCATTTGAAACAAGGAAGATTCAGACACATGGAAATAAGTTTTGTATCTAAAATGGATGATAAAAATTAAAGTTTTCATTTTTTTAAGGAAAAGCATATTTATTTTTGTCAAACATTTACAGTAATCTACATTAAAAAGCTATAGTTTTCAGGATTCTGTTAAGTCTGTTCTTCAAAGTATGCTATGTGAGGTTGATCTAGAGAACACTTGACCACATCTACTTCTCCACCTCCATTCTTTGCCCGTTGAAAGTGAATGTTAATTAAATCCTCCACAATTTCTTCATCCATTTGAATGCCTTCCATTCCTGTCAGAAGCACTGTCCTCTTAGATGTTCCTGAAAATATCTAAGTAGGAAAAACAATGATAAATAGAAAGATTTCTGAGAGCTTTGAATTACAAAACTTTACATTCATAATCTGCTTAATATTTTTTACTTTATCTTAGAAGAGACAAGAAATCTTAGGAAGATTTTCCAAGCAAGAGAATATCCAAGTCAGATCTGAGTTTTAGAAAGAGAACTCTGATGGCATTATGGAACATAGAGGAAAGGGGGGAAGCTCTGGGGACAGTTTTAGAAAAAGAACTCTGGTGGCATTATGGAACATAGAGGAAAGGAGGGATGCTCTGGGAACAGAAAGACCAGGTAAACAGGTAGTCAGAAGCGGAGCTGGCAAGATTTAGTGACGAAAGGAATGTTGGAGGTGAAGCAAACTGAAGAGTTAAGTGAGTTCTAGCTTTTAAGTCAGTGGACTAGGTAGATGGTGGTACCATTGGATACCTGAGAAGGAAGAGGAAAAGGCAGCAGGTCTGGGATAAAGATACTGAGTTCAGAGGAAGTAGGCAGGAATTCTTTCTCATGCTTACTGACAGTAGACACATGAGAGAAATGCAGCTATGTCTCCATGTACAAAAATAAAAATTGTGCCATTATCTGAGTAATTCCAGTTTTTTAAATTGTATACTAAAGTACAGTTTTGCATTAAAACACTCCTTCAAAAGACAAACTCATTTTGCACTAAGCAAAAATGAAGTAAAGAAACCATTTGGCTATCCCTCATTGATAAGATTCATATAGTAACAGACTCACAACAACTTTATTTTTTGTGGGGTGGGTTTGGGCAGTAAGTTCTCAAAATGAGAGAAAAGAGATGACTTTACCTGATACTTTCTCAAGTGTATTTCTGTGTATGGAGAAACAGTAACTCTATGGCAGGTTTGATTTATATAAAGAGGATAATCTTTCTTTTTCAAAATCTTGTCAGCAACTAAAAGCAAAGCAAAAACAATACTTGTCTCTTTTATATCATAAACATTTTTAACCAAAGTTAAAACTTCCTTCAAAAAGAACAGTAAATACTGAGTTAAATACTGAGTTACAGTAAATACTGAGTTAAAAGATTAATTTTTAAGAAATTCTAAAACCCACTTTGAAGACTTCACAGTACATAATTTTGAAAACTACAAGACCTAACAATAATGAGGTTTAAAGGCTTCATTCCATCTTGAATTATTCACTGCAGTCAATCAATGCACAAAGGGTTGCAATGTCCTCAGACAGATCTACTTTGAGCTACAAAAAATACGATAGTTTTTTGCAGAAAGTAACCCACTCATCTAACAGTTTCTCAAAAGCTATAAGTGAAAACTATGATTAGAATACTATAAAAAAAATATTTTTTTCAATATATTCAATAAACTTAAGTAATGATGTTAACCAAAGCAGGGAGGGGACTGAATGTCATCTAGAAAAGCTGAAAGGAAATAAAAATTCATCAGTTTTCTACAACACAAAGAATAGTCTATTTTTTAGCAGTATTTTTGTCTCCTAGAGGGATGAAAGGATGTGTATCAAGACTGTAACGTGTAACAGAAACAGTTCTTAGGAATATCCAGCCATCCTTTTTATGACTCTTCTCACTCATCTACCTTGGATCAATCAGCAATACGGTACAATGATTAAGAGTGTAGGCGCTTATTGGCGAGGATATGGAGAAATTGCAACCCTGAGGCATTGCTGGTAGGAATGTAAAATGGTACAGCCACTGTGGAAAACAGTATGACAGTTCCCCAAAATATTAAAATAGAACATGATATGATCCAGCAATTCAACTTCAGGGTATATACCCGAAATAACTGAAAGCAGGGACTCGGGCAGATACTTGCTCATTAATGCTCAGAACAGTATTTTTCACAATAGGCCAATAGGCAAAAGGTGGAAGTAACCCAAGTGTCCACCAACAGATGAATAGATAAACAAAATGGATATATAAAATACACACACACACACACACACACACACACACGGAGAATATTATTCAGCCTTTAAAAAGGATGAAATTCTGATACCTACCACAACATGGATGGACCCTGATAACATTATGCTAACCAAAATAAGACAGACATGAAACGGACAAATATTGTATAATTCCACTTGAGTGAGGTACCTAGAATAGGCAAATTCATAGCAACAGAAAGTAGAATGGTGGTTACCAGGGGCTAGAAGAAGAAGTAATGGAGAATTATTGTTAAATGGGTACAGAGTTTCAGTTTGGGGTGATTAAAAAGTTCTAGAGATGGATAGTGGTGATGGCTGTACAACATTGTGAATGTACTTAGTACCTTTGAATTGTATATTTAAAAATTGTTAAAATGGTAAATTTTATGTTATACATATTTTATCACAGTTTAAAAAAAAAAAAAAAGAGTACAGGTCCTGAGTCAAATAGTCCAGCTTCAGTCCTAGCTCTGCTACTTATGAGCTATGTGGCCTTGGACATGTTGCTTGACTTCTTAAAGTCTCAGTTTCCTTTTCTGTAAAATAAGCATAATTACAGTAACTACCCTGTAGATTATTGTGATGAGTCAGTAAGACACAGTTTATGAAGTATCTGGAATATTTATCTCCAGAATACCTTCATATCCTTCAGTAGTTACCTATAGGATCACCTATAACCTGCAAAAGTATTCTTCCCTGTCTGGCTACATGTAACCTCTAGGAGAGCATCCCCAGATGGACACAGGTTCCATAGCTAGTACTATCTCTCACAGTAGAGTTATAAATTGCATTCTAGTTTATTTTATTTTATTTTATTTTATTTGGTTTTTTTTTTTTGAGACCGAGTCTCGCTCTGTCACCCAGACTAGAGTGCAGTGATGCAATCTCGGCTCTCTGCAACCTCTGCCCCTCAGGTTCAAGCAATTCTCCTGCCTCAGCCTCCCAAGTAGTTGGGATTATAGGGGTGGGACAGCACATCGGCTAATTTTTGTATTTTTAGTGGAGACCGGGTCTCACGATGTTGGCCAGACTGGTCTTGAACTCCTGGCCTCAAGGGATCCACCCGCCTCAGCCTCCCAAAGTGCTGGGATTACAGGCGTGAGCCACTGCGCCTGGTCAGATTTTTTAAAATCCAAGATACAGACAAACAACCGCAAATAAGCTAAATGAATATAGGAATTTGGCAAATTAAAATCTGGATGCTTGACTATGGAAATTTCCACCAAGTTACTGTTAATTTTCAAGACAACATATTATGGTAGCCCTCAAGACCCCTTCCTTTTGTAGCTCTCCTTAACACATCCCACCAGGATGTCCTAAACATCATCCAAAAGCTCAGGTCAAAAATGCATATTGGGCCGGGAGCAGTGGCTCACGTTTGTAATCTTAGCACTTTGGGAAGCCAAGGCGGATGTATCACTTGAAATCAGGAGTTTGACACCAGACTGACCAACATGGTGAAACCCCGTCTCTACCAAAAATACAAAAATTAGTCAGGCATGGTGGCACGCACTTGTAATTCCAGCTACTCGAGAGGCTGAGGTGGGAGAATTGCTTGAACCAGGGAAGCGGACATTGCAGTGAGCTCCGATAGTACCACTGCACTCTAGCCTGGGCGACAGAGCAAGACTCTGTCTCACAAAAAAAAAAAAAGGCATATTGATATTGTTTTAATGTGTCCAAAGAAAGACCTGGAAAGACACCGAAATAACCATAATGAACTAAAGAGTAGGAGAAAAGGAAGTTTGAGAAAATGTCTCTTTTTTTTTTTTTTTTTTTTTTTTGAGATGGAGTCTCACTCTGTCACCCAAGCTGGAGTGCAATGGTGCAATCTCGGTTCACTGCAACCTCCACCTCCTGGGTTCAAGCTGTTCTCCTGCCTTACCCACCCAAGTAGCTGGGATTACAGGCGAGCGCCACCACACCGGCTAATTTTTTTGTATTTTTAGTAGAGACGGGGTTTCACCATGTTAGTCAGGCTGGTCTCAAACTCCTGACCTCATGATCTGCCTGCCTCGGCCTCCCAAAGTGCTGGGATTACAGGCATGAGCCACTGGGCCCGGCTGAAATGTCTCATTTTTACTAAATGTGTGTTCTGTATTATTTCACCCTCTTTAAAAAAGCATGTATTACTTTGTCATGAAAAAATCTAATCCATCAATTTTTTTTTTTAATTTTGTTTTTTGAGACAGTGTCTCACTCTGTCTCCCAGGCTGTAATGCAGTGGTGCAATCACAGGTCACTGCAGCCTCGACCTCCTGGGCTCAAGTAATCCTCCCTCTTCAGCCTCCTGAGTAGCTGGGACCACAGGCATGCACCACTATGCCTGGCTATCTTGGCTCACTGCAACCTCCACCTCCCGGGTTCAAGCGATTCTCCCTGCCTCAGCCTCCCGAGTAGCTGGAATTACTGGCACCAGCCACCATGCCCAGCTCATTTTTGTCTTTTTAGTAGAGATGGGGTTTCGCCATGTTGGACAAGCTGGTGTCGAATTCCTGACCTCAAGTGATCTGCCTGCCTCGGTCTCCCAAAGTGCTGGGATTACAGGGTGAGCCACCGCACCCTGCCTATCTACAGCAATATTATTGTTCCTAGCACTGTCCCTAGAAATAATTTCCTACACTCTACTATTTTATAAGATTTTTTTAAATCCCCAATTATCATGCGAATACATTCCAAATAAAAGAAGTAGAATAAGAATACTTCAGAAACAACAGAACATGACTGAAATGGCAGAGCGTCTGTTAAACTTCTACACCCATGAGTACCTCCAGTCTCCACGAACGTGATGACCGCACTCCCGGACTGTCTGTCATAGTCCGCGTGGTCCACCTCTCCACCTCCATTTCGGGACTTGCAAAAGCTCAGCTCTAGTTTGTCTCTCATCTGATCTTCAGGCAGTGTGTCAGGAATTTCAGTAACATTGATTTTCATTTTAGAAACTTCTACATAAACCTGGAAAATGATTTGATGCTCAGAAATATGGATAAGAGAAGTGCCTATGATGAACAGAAATCCAAAAAATTTTAATCATCCTGTTACCTGGAATCTGACTCCTGAGTTTAATGGGACTGGCTTGGCCGTAACCTCCAGATTTATATCTTTTATCCGCACCTGATGTTTACTCATGCTTACCACATTTTGGGCAACTGAAAAATAATTCGGGAAGGAAGTATTAATTTCCAATATTTTAAGAATTGTTATGCTTTTGGTTTAAGAACAAATTATCCTGAATATTTTTAATTTTATTTAATATTAAAGAGTCTAATTTAAAAAATTTGGCAGGGGGTGGTTCCAAGTGATAATGGTCTTGCCACCAAAATAGAATATATATTTTGGGGGGTTAGGGAGAAGGGGGACCGGATCTCACTCTGTCACTGAGGCTGGAATGCAGTGGTGTGATCATAGCCCACTGTAACTTCAAACTCCTGGGCTCAAGAGATCCTCCCACCTCAGCTTCCAGAATAGCTAGGATTACAGATACATGCCACCACGCCTAGCTAATTTTTTAAACTTTTTGTAGAGACGAGGTCTCGCTTTGTTGCCCAGGCTGCCCTGGAACTCTCGGACTCAAGTGATCCTCCCACAGCAGACTCCCAAAGTACTGAGATTACAGGCATGAGTCACTGCTCTTGGTTCCAAAGTAGAATATATTAATGTCAAAGTACATCAGCAAAATCACAATGTAGAAGTTCTCAAGTTCTAGATTCATCTCATAAGATGAATCTTTTCTCTTATCTCTTAAGAGATAAGCCTAACGATCTTCCAGAATTCATATATTACTTCAGCTCGGCCACATACCCTTCCTTCCACTGTTAACCATTACCAGACGATTCCTCTAGTACATTAATGCACAGCCAGAAATTCTCCCATGTTCAGTAGGCTGGGAAAACTTTCATGGCTAAGTGTCATTTGTACAATTAGTCTTGATTTTACTTAACCTTATCATTTGTTACTCCTTCATGTTACAAGCACAAGAGCAATATATATTCATTTTCTCTGTCTCCTCAAAGATTACATGTTAAAGACTACATAGGCTGGAATATCAAAGAGTGAGTCTTTTTTTCTGTCATACTTAATGATGAATTTCACTTTTGCAAAAATACTCTTGAAATCATTCTTTAAAAAGTTGATAGTCCTGCTATATTGATCACAAAGCCGTCAAGTCTAATTTACCTATGCAAATGGGAGCAGTTTAGTAAAATGCTAAAAGTCCCTAGCACTCCAAAAAGCAACTCTATGTCAATTAAAAATGTGAGTGGGCATTTATTTTTAATTGTGTGGCATGAGTTTATAACACTTCACTTGTTGATATTTGGGACTGCTATTCCAATGTATCATGAAAATAAGTGACATTCACTCTCTGTCTTATAAAATCTCATATGTGTTTATGACAACCAGACCAGATGGCACCACATCACAGCTGGAGGAAGAGGAAAAAAGGGCCAGAAGGCAGGGCCTTGGCCATGTGGGAATTCAACTCAATGTACCAAAATATGACTCTATAACTTGGATGATGGTTTTTTGTTATTTTGTGTTTTTGTGTTTGTTTGCTAATGACAACAGACAGTAACAGAAAATATCAATGAGTAATACTCAGATGATCCTCTTTCCCTCCCACTCCTCCGCAAACCCCCAACATCTGGTGATCTGATGCAGCTGAGAGGGACCTCTTGTGTTTCAACTTTTGTGACTCTGACAATCAAGAGCCAACTCCTACTTAATTGTGTTTCAAACCTATTGCTGTCCCAGGAGATCGGGAGCTCAGAGCCTCGTCAAGGGTAGAAGCAATGATGTAGGTGCTTCTTTAGAGAATTCCATTTCCAACATTCCCAGGAAATTGCTGTGCAGAAACCCTGCCTCTCAAATCCTCATTTATATCTATCTTTTAGTTATATCCCGTTTACCAGGGACAGTCACCAATATGAGTCCTGGACTCCTCTTCTACCTGTAGCAGTAGCTCCAGGGTGAAGGAAAACACACTGGCGATGTATGTCTTCTACATGCAGATGCTGACCTGCTGGACATTTATTTTCAGGCTACAGTGGTGCACCAGTTGTCAGGAAACATGGGTTATAGACTGTCAGAAAATGAGCACTGGAAGGGCTGGGAACACCATCTGGTCCCTCACCACATAACTTAATAAAAGAACAAAGGCCTGAGCTGGTGGTCTACCGAGAGAAATATTGGCCCAGTGGAAGTACATGGACTCTCAGGGTTTGGCTCTCAGCTCTGCAATTAACTGTAAAGACTTTAAGCAAGTTACTTATCTTCTTTAAGTTTCTGTTTCCTTATCTGAAAAATTCCTAACATGTAGCAATAATAACAACTACCATTCATTAAGTTTGTATTAAGTGTCCGACATTGTGCGAAGTATTTTATCAACATTTCTCATTTAATACTCAAAGCAGCCTCATGAAGTAGGAACTACCATGAAGCACCTGTATAAAACGCTGAGGTTTATAAAGAACCCATCCCAAATCATGCTTCTAGGAAGGGACAAGGCTGGCACTCAAAGCCAGATCCTCCCCATTCAGGAACTCCCAGCTCTGACTAGGGACCCTCACCATGGCAGACTTAGCAAACATCAGGTCTCATCCCAAATCTCTAACTCCCAGGCTCTTTCCATTCGTCAGCTATGTGCCCTTAGGTAAATCACTTAAACATCCTCAGAATCTGTTTTCTGGGCTCTGGCATGTCTATATTTAAAGTACACAATAATAACTATCCTATCCTCCTACATTTATGAACTTGTGTGAATATAAGATGTGATAATGTTTCTGAGAACTGTACAAGCTCTACTACCTTGATATATTACTATCATTATTTGGAGGTAGCATGCGGAGTAGAAAGAGGCTGGTATTGGACATCATCATAACACCTGGATTTAAGTCCCACAGTCATGGCTTTCTGAATAAGAGATCATATTCAAGGCACTTGTCTCAGAGTCAGTTTTCTCATCTGTAAAATGGGAATAATCATACCTGCCTCAGAATGTCACTATGAGGATAAGAAATAATATAAGCAAAGTAATATTAGCGAAGTAATAGCTAAATGTCTATGAAAGTGCTTTCCAAATAACATCGTCATATTTTTTAACATTAGTCATACCTTCTTCTTTTTCAAAGGTGATAAGTGCTTGTCCCTTTTGTAGCTCATAAGGAACTTTCGAGCTCACTTGAAATGAACAGGAGATATTTGACAACTGGCTGTCATTCTCAGGAGTTTCAACTGCTAAGAATTTCATCTTTGTTTCAGGAATATCCTCTTTAATCTAATCCAAATGAAAATGTTTGATTAAAATCAAGACAAGAAATAACTTAAGTTCTTCCAATGATAATGTAATTTGGTCAACTAATAATTCATTCCCCACTGATTTTAGAACCTTATAGAATATTGAGTATGGTCTTACTTAACATCTTTAGTAATTGCTTTTTCCCATGTAAGTACTCAGTAAAGTAATCAAATGCTGATCTTTTAATATCATTTCACAGATGAAATTAAAAATACATAATCCTCTCACTTTTTTCTAATCAATGTTTAAACTGTCAATATTGTATGGTGTTCAATTCTAAAGCCTACATCATTCATGTAAATAAGGAATTTTTAAACAAGTGTCAATAACAGACTATCTCAAAAGGAAATCATTAGATAGCATGTTTAATTTTGCTGCAAAGTATGAAATATAGTGTTGGGTATAATATGGTATTTCAAATCCAGATAATTTCATCCAAAAAGAAAGACTCCAGAATTAGATAACTTTATTTATTTAATTATTTATTTATTTATTTATTTATTTATTTAGAGACAAAGTCTCACTCTGTTGCCAGGCTGGAGTACAGTGGTGTGATCTCGGTTCACTGCAACCTCCATCTCCCAGGTTCAAGCAATTTTCCTGCCTCAGTCTCCCAAGTAGCTGGAACTACAGGCATGCACTACCACACCCAGCTAATTTTTGTATTTTGTATTTTCAGTAAAGATAGGGTTTCACCATGTTGGCCAGGATGGTCTCAATCTCTTCACCTCATGATCCACCTGCCTTGGCCTCCCAAAGTTCTGGGATTACAGACGTGAGCCACCACACCTGGCCTAGAATTAGATGATGTTAAATTTATCAAATTTACAAATTCCACCTTCCCCAACACCTGCCCATCAACTTTTTAACCATTACCACAACTTAGGTTCATAAAAAATGAGAAGGGACAATATCAACAAAAATTGTAAGCTGAGGGTGGGCAGGTGGCTCACACTCGTAATCCCAGTACTTTGGGAGGCCGAAGCAGGCAGATCACCTGAGGTCAGGAGTTGGAGACCAGCCTGGCCAACATGGTAAAACCTGTCTCTAATAAAAATACAAAAGTTAGCTAGGCATGGTGGCAACCGCCTGTAATCCCGGCTATTCAGGAGGCTGAGGCAGGAGAATTGCTTGAACCAGGGAGGCAGAGGTTGTAGTGAACTGAGAGCGCACCATTGCACTCCAGCCTGAGCAACAAGAACAAAACTCTATCTTAAAAACAAAAACAAAAACAAAAACAAAAATTGTAACCTGAAAGATAAAGGTAGGTGGTTATACTTAGCCGCTTAGAATTATTGGGATTAACAGATTTGTATAACCACACATAAATGCACAAATGAGCTAGGTGCTTGCATTTCTATTTCCCATGGTTATTTTACATGCTGAAAATGATAGAGATGAGAAATATTCAGTGAGTCATTCGATTTAATCTTATATTTATTCTTTGCCTGTACACGTAACTCCAGTGGAACTTCTGATTATGGTAAGGCTGACATCAAAACAATCTACAATGTCTGAGAAAAGGCAGACTGTTACCCAATAATGCAGAAATACCCGTATATGCTGAGGAACCAAGGCCTTTCTGAAATTAGAGTGAGAAAGCTTGATTCTATTTCTGACCACACTGTGACAGAGCAAATTCACTTCAGCTCTCTGATCATGGGTTCGGTCCCCTGCAAAGCGGGTCGACTAAGGCTGGTTGGTTTCTAAAGGCTCTCTGGGTTGTAAGACTGCTTGATTCTAGCTCCAGTCTGAGAAGTAACCAGAATCTTAACAGAGTCTTCTGCAAAGTCACCCATCTCATAAACACAGAAAACCTCACTTCCTGATATTCAATATCCTATCTCTCACTTCAGAAACAAAAAGTGTCAATGTTTTAATTTTTTTTTTTTTTTTTTTTTTTGGCATAGGCAGAGTCTCGCTCTGTCACCCAGGCTGGAGCACAGTGGTGCAATCTCAACTCACCGCAACCTCCGCCTCCCAGGTTCAAGCAATTCTCTGCCTCAGCCTCCCAAGTAGCTGGGATACAGGCACCCGCCACCATGCCTGGCTAATTTTTTTTTTTTTTGTATTTTTGGTAGAGACGGGGTTTCACCATCTTGGTCAGGCTGGTCTTGAACTCCTGACCCCATGATCCACCCGCCTCAGCCTCCCAAAGTGCTGGGATTACAGACATGAGCCACCACGCCCAGCCTGAATGCTTTAATTTTTTAACAATCTGAGTTGTTAAGAAAAAAAAATGGGTGAAAATTATGTATAATTAAAATACAGGAAAATTTAGGAGAGAATTTAAATAGTGAGGATTAATATATGTCCAATTTTTTAAACTGTGAAACTCATTTAAATTAGCAAAGCACCTTGGATGAGAATACTAATAAAAGAACTCAGTGGAGGCCGGGCGCGGTGGCTCACGCCTGTAATCCCAGCACTTTGGGAGGCCGAGGCGGGCGGATCACAAGGTCAGGAGATCGAGACCATGGTGAAACCCCGTCTCTACTAAAAAATAGAAAAAAATTAGCCGGGCGCAGTGGCGGGCGCCTGTAGTCCCAGCTACTCGGGAGGCTGAGGTAGGAGAATGGCGTGAACCCGGGAGGCGGAGCTTGCAGTGAGCCGAGATTGCGCCACTGCACTCCAGCCTGGGCGACAGAGCGAGACTCCGTCTCAAAAAAAAAAAAAAAAAAAAAGAACTCAGTGAGAAAAGCCAGAATTTGATCCAACAGATTTGCTAATGACCATCTTTTTTTGGTAAATTTTATTAATGTTTGCTTTGGTAAATTTATTAAAGTGTATATAAATAATAGAAAAATGCATGTATCATAAGTACAGCAAGATGCAATTTTACAAAGTTAACACATATGTGATTGGCACACAGATGACAGGCAGAACATGACAACACTCCAGAAACTCCCTTGGGTCCCCTTCTGGGTCTTACCTGCTTCCAAAAGTAACCACTGTTTTAACTTCGAACATCCTGCTTTTGCTTAATTTAAAGGGAAGCATATGGTACGCCCTCATCTGTCTTTTTTGTGTTAACATTGTGTTTATGAAACCCATTTGTGTTGCTGCATGTCGTTATGATCTGTTCCTTCTCATTGCTGTGTAGTTTTCTACCATATGACTATACCCCACTTCACTAACTCATTCTCTTATGAAGGAATCATTGGGCTGTTTTCCATTTTGAACTATTACAAATGGTGGTGCCATGGATGATAAGGTTTCAAAAATGAATTTTATATAATTAAAATGCTTTTTCCAAAAACCATGCGTCCATCAAAAATGTAGTGTATAAAATAATTAAGAGAGTACCTGGAATTCTCTGGTAGCCTCTTGTAACTCCGTTTCGAGCTTTTGGATCTCCTTCTTTAGTTGAATATTTTCCTTTGTCATTTCATCAATTAGTTTTGTCATTTCATCAATTAGTTCCTTAAAAATATCAAACGTACTGGAAGAAAGTAGTCATTCCCAAACTCATTTTTCTGAATGAACTAAAGACTATAAATTTTCTCTCATTCTGAGTAAAAGAAAGACATTAGACAGTCTCAGAATAAATATGACGAGTGTGCATAATGCATTTGTTGAATATTTCTATGATCATCACCCGTCTATTCTAATACTGCCAAGTAGTATTATTCCATCATATAAATCAGGAAACCACCTTTTGGCACTAGGGCCAATGTCACAGAAATTTGTATAGTAAGGCAAAGATTGAGATCAGATCTTCTGAATATTACTTCAGTGCTGCATCAACTCCTTTCTTTAGCTATTTGTGATCATTAATAAGACTTCGCAAAATTGCAATGTAATAGGCGGACATATTCTGGGGCAGTTTGTTGTTATTGGTTGGTGGTGGTGTTTTTAATTATCTGCGATTCTATGTATCCAGCATGACAGCTGTTTACCAAGCCAGATATATGACCTTGAGGGTAGTTTAATCTACCTGGCTCTTCTGTTCCCTCTGGGGTCTAATGAGATACTTGCTAATCTTATGCTCTAACTGTTGGATACAAATCCAAGAAATGAGGGTGTGAGTGAGAAAGCAGCCAGGTACTGTAAGCCTTATATGAGAAAGAATAAAAATACAACACTTCTTGTAAGACTTAAATAACATAATGAAGTTAAAAACTTTTTTTAAAGCCTAACAGCCTCCCAAATTCAAGGTAATGTCGGACAAAGACATACATGAAAATATGCCTTACTGCAAAACTAATAGATATAAATTAATTTTTTTTTTTGAGACAGAGTCTCACTCTGTCGCCCAGGCTGGAGTGCAGTGGCCCGATCTCAGCTCACTGCAAGCTCCGCTCTCCAGGTCTACGCCATTCTCCTGCCTCAGCCTCCCGAGTAGCTGGGACTACAGGCGCCCGTCACTCGCCCAGCTAGTTGTATTTTTAGTAGAGACGGGGTTTCACCGTAAGGGGCCAGGCTGGTCTCGATCTCCTGACCTCGTGATCCGCCCGTCCTGGCCTCCCAAAGTGCTGGGATTACAGGCTTGAGCCACCGTGCCCAGCCCTCCTAAATTAATTTTAATAATACCTAGTAATTTCCTTTTACCTTATTTTGTTCATCTTTTTATAACCATGTGGCCCATGCTCCTTAAGAACTTGTTGTGTGTTGTCTTTATCAGCTTCCATGATTCCCTAACATTATAAAAAATATTGTAAGCATAGCATATATACACAAATTTCAGAACAAAGAAATAACTTTATCCTCTTTTATGAAGAAACATCTCTTTTCTTTGCTATATCTTTTTTCCTATCATCAAAGGCTTTATTCTCATATGGCTTATATCCAAACAAAGTCTGTATTTCAATAACTCCTTTTTTTTTTTTTATTTTGAGACAGAGTCTCACTCTGTCACTCAGGCTGGAAGGCAATAGTCCGATCTCAGTCACTAAGCAATCTCTGCCTCCCAGGTTCAAGAGATTCTCCTGCCTCAGCTTCCCAAGTAGCTGGGATTACAGCCACCTGCCACCATGCCCGGCTAATTTTTTTTTTTTTTTGTATTTTTGGTAGAGACGAGGTTTCACCATTCTTGGTCAGGGGGTTGGTCTTGAACTCCTGACCCCATGATCCACCCGCCTCAGCCTCCCAAAGTGCTGGGATTACAGACATGAGCCACCACGCCCCAGCCTGGACAGTTTAATTTTTTAACAATCTGAGTTGTTAAGAAAAAAATGGGTGAAAATTATGGCAATGAAATACAGGAAAATTTAGGAGAGAATTTAAATAGTGGGAGGATTAATATATGTCCAATTTAAACTGTGAAACTCATTTAAATTACAAAGCACTGATGAGAATACTAATAAAAGAACTCAGTGAGAAAAGCCAGAATTTGATCCAACAGTGATTTGCTATCACCATCTTTTTTTGGTAAATTTTATTAATGTTGCTTGGTAAATTTATTAAAGTGTATAAATAATAGAAAATGCGATCATAAGTACAGCAAGGATATAACTTACAAAGCTAACACATATGTGATTGGCACACAGATGACATGCAGAATACGACAACACCTTAGAAACCCTTGGGTTCCTTCTGGTCTTAACTGCTTCCAAAAGTAACTACTGTTTTAATCCTCAACATCCTGCTTTTGCTTAATTTAAAGGGCCATATGGTACGCCCTCATCTGTCTTTTTGTGTTAACATTGTGGTTTATGAAACCCATTTGTGTTGCTGTATGTCGTTAAGGACCGGTTCCTTCTCATTGCTGCAGTTTTCTACCATATGACTATACCCCACTTCACCACCTATCTCTTATGAAGGAATCATTGGGCTGTTTTCCATTTTGAACTATTACAAATGGTGGTGCCATGGATGATAAAGGTTTCAAAATGAATTTATATAATTAAAATGCTTTTCCAAAAACTATGCGTCCATCAAAATGTAGTGTATAAAATAATTACATATATACCTGGAATTCTCTGGTAGCCTCTTGTAACTCCGTTTCGAGCTTTTGGATCTCCTTCTTTAGTTGAATATTTTCCTTTGTCATTTCATCAATTAGTTCCTTAAAAATATCAAACGGTACCAAAGAAAGTAAATAGCCCCAAACTCATTTTTCTGAATGAACTAAAGACTATAAAATTTCTCTCATCCTGAGCAAAGAAAGACATTAGATGTCTCAGAATAAATATGACTATGTGCATAATGCATTTGTTGAATATTTGCATCTGCCTGTCTATTCAAAAAATATTGCCAAAAAGATCATCTCCACATATAAATTTGGGAAGCCACTTAACACTTAAAGCGTGCGTCAAATAAATTTCAAGAGTAAGGCAAAGATTGAGATGATCTTCAAGCACTCAAAGTAAAACAAAACAACCTTCTTCTGTATAACTGTGGCTAAGGTGATTTTTTAATTGCATAACTTATAAATATGGACATATATTAAGCAATGTTAAAACAAGTTGGTGAAGAAATTTAATATCTGTGATTCATAGTAATCTATAGTACACATACTGCCTTCAGCTAAAAAATAGACATATGACCTTAAAGTATTTTAATCTACCTGGCCTCTGTTCCCTCTTTTTGGGGTCTAATGAGATACTCTACAATCATGTTCTTAACTTGTTGGATGCAAATCCAAGAAAATGAGGGTGTGAGTGAGAAAGCAGCTATATTGTAAGCCTTATGAGAAAGAATAAAAATACTTACACTTCTTGTAAGACTTAAATAACATAATGGAAGTTAAAATATTTTTTAAAGCCTAACAGCCTCCCAAATTCAAGGTAATGTTGGACAAAGAAGGAAACATGCTCACTGCAAAACTAATAGGATATAATTAATTTTAGCTAATACCCAGTACCCCTTTACCTTATTTTGTTCATCTTTTATAAATTCATGTGGCCCATGCTCCTTAAGAACTTGTTGTGGTGTTGGTTCTATCAGCTTCCCATGATTCCTCAACATTATAAAAAAATAAATATTGTAAGCATAGCATATATACACAAATTTCAGAACAAAGAAATAAATAACTTTACCCTTTTATGAAGAAGAAACATCTCTTTTCTTTTGCTATATCTTTTTCCTATCATCAAAGGCTTTATTCTATATGGCTTATAATTTATATCCAAACAAAGTCTGTATTTCAATAACTCCTTTTTTTTTTTTTTTGAGACAGAGTCTCACTCTGTCACTCAGGCTGGAAGGCAATAGTCCGATCTCGGCTCACTGCAATCTCTGCCTCCCAGGTCCAAGAGATTCTCCTGCCTCAGCCTCCCAAGTAGCTGGGATTACAGCCACCTGCCACCATGCCCGGCTAATTTTGTATTTTTAGTAGAGATGGGGTTTCACCATGTTGGTCAGGCTGGTCTTGAACTCTTGTCTTCAAGTGATGCGCCCCCCTCAGCCTCCCAAAGTGTTGGGATTACAGGTGTGAGTCACCATGCCTGGCCACTATTTCAAATAACTTTCACATCTAAAATATATAAAAAGATTCTAAAAATCCTTTGCTTTTCAACAAAATAATATACAGAAACTAATGAACATTAATGTTCCTTTGTAGTTCATATTCCAATCATAATATCATGCTCCATTTTAAAAGGATACTATTTTGGTTTTCCAATGTTTTTCAAAGGTTTTGATTAAAATATTTAATTCTCCCTATTGTTCTCCCCAAATATAAACAAAGTCAAAGTCAAGAGGCCTCCAACATATGCTTTCTCTACACAGGTGTTCTTACCTGGAGCTTTCACTAACTCTCCCACTGGGTCCATAAACATGGATTGGGAAGAAATTACATGTTTATTTCTAATAACCTCTAATTGAAGCTTAGCATTCTCTTCAATTATGAATATTGTAACAAACTATAGTAGTATTCACAGCACCTGTGATAGTCACCAGTAGGAAGCACAGATAGTTTCATAGAATATTGTTGCAGATATGCTAAAATAGTTTGTGTCTAACGTTGCTTCTACATTAGTTACTAAGCTCAACACTAGGTCTTGTAATACATTGTAATACATTGATATATATCACTATATCAAACATTTGCTTTTAAAATAGTCTGATAACCATATTTCAATACAATTGATTTCTGGCCAGGCGCAGTGGTTCACGGCTGTAATCCCAGCACTTTGGGATGCCAAAGCAGGTGGATCATGAGGTCAAGAGTTTGAGACCAGCCTGACCAACATGGTGAAACCCCATCTCTACTAAAAATACAAAAAAGAATTAACTGGGCGTGGTGGCAGGTGCCCATAATCCCAGCCATATTTCAATACAATTGATTTCCTTTGTAATTCTAAGTATTTTATTTTATGCATTTAATGTTTTTTTTTTTTAGATAGTGTCTCACTTTGTTGCCCAGGCTGGAGTGCAGTAGGGCATGAACACACTCACTGCAGCCTCAACATCCCAAGCTCAAGTGATCCTCCCACCTCAGTCCCCCAAGTAGTTGGGACTACAGGTGTGCGCCACCATGCCCAGCTAATTTTTGTATTTTTTGTAGAGATGGGTTTTCGCCAAGTTGCCTAGACTGGTCTTGAACTTCTGGGCTCAAACAATCCGCCCCCCTTGGACTCCCAAAATGCTGGGATAAGCCACCATGCCTGCCCCCACCAAATTTTTTTTTTTTTTTTTTTTTTTTTTGGAGAAAGGCCCATAGGATTTGCCAAGCTGGCAAAGGAATCCACGGCACAAAATAATTTAAGAACTCTTGCCTACATATGAAATTACTGAGATCAAAAACTCCCGGATCAAAAATGGGACAAAGGATATCATGATTCTGTGTTTTAGATACACATTAATAAACAGTCTGCAATATAATTTTCCAAGATTTCAAGTGGCTAAATTCTCAATATTCTTGAAAGATAAATAAAAGACATCTATTCCTCCTTAAAAATAAAATAGAAGACTAGCAAATACTTAGCCATGTCTCAGTTTAATTAGAAAAGTGTCAAAAAAAAAAAGAGGAGCGTCACGTAACACCCAGATCTTGGTTTCTAATAATAGTCTTCAATATAAGAAACCAGGGCTCATTGGAGCAATGGCTGATTCTGGGTCTGGGGCATAAAATATACAAAATAAGCTTGGAATATCTTGTAGAGCTAGAAAAGTAAAAAGCACTAAAATACATGCACAGACACATACAATATGATGGGAGTATGTGAAAGGGACATGGGCAGCCAACTGAAAGAGCTCCAGTGGCCAAAGGTACATACAGATAATTGATCAAGTAAGTAAATATATGGAGGATAATAGGAGCCAAGTTTTTCACCACTGAGAAGATAATTATAAATATGGAAAGGGAGAAAACGAGAATAAATACTGTTGATTGGAACTAGATTTCAATGTAATCCTATGGCTGTGGTTTTTGATTGATGAGATAGATAGATAGATAGATAGATAGATAGATAGATAGATAGATAGACATGCCTGTGTGTGCTTACCTGGATGTGGTGGTGCGTGCCTGTAATCCTAGCTACTTGGGAGGCTGAGGCAGGAGAATTGCTTGAACCCTGGAGCTGGAGGTTGCAGTGAGCTAAGATTGAGCCACGGCACTCCAGCCTGGGCAACAGAGTGAGTCTCCGTCTCAGGAAAAAAAAAAAAAAAGAAATGCCTATGTGTGTATTTTGGATATATACAAATATGTATATACCTTAGTTCTGTCTGTTGAGAAGGCCTGGAAGAGTAGATACAACCACAATGAGCAATGAGCACACTCAGCACCCAGACTTTGGTTTCTAATACTATTCTCCACTAAAAGGAACCAGGACTCTTTAGAGAAATGGTTGATCCCAAAACCAGGATGGAAAAACTGCAAGATGAGCCTGGGACATCTTATGATGCCAAAAAGCAAGGAAATGCTTAAAGAATGATGACGTGTCGGAAGGACACAGAATCCACCTTGAGATGGTTTTCAGTGGCCAAATCTGGGGATAAATTAAAGATTAAAATAGAGAATGGTAGTAATAATTAAATCTGTTGATTAAAGTAAAAAACTGATTCCAGATAAATTAGAAATGTTGGTGAACAAAGGAATTTTTAGTTACCTTCAAAATAGTTCCCCACAAAATGTTTATTAATTCCAAAGAAGAAAAGAGTAACTTTATACTGGAGAAGTCTGGCAGACATCAACATAATGAGATAATCAAAGTAAATGATGGAATAAATCAAAATAATGTAACATATTACAAGGTGCACTGAGAACACAATGTAACTTCGACGATAGTCCTGCCAAAGATGCATAATCTGAATCTAAGTATGAAGAAACATCAGACAAACTCAAATTGAGGGGTTCTACAATACAACTGCCCTGTTCTCTTCAAAAGTTTCAAGTTAAGAAGGCCAAGGAAAGACTAAGAAATGTCCACACATCACAACTAAATAGAAAGCATGATCCTCAACTGGATCCTTTTGCTATCACTGGGGCTCAGACACTGATACCCTGAAGTATGGCACTTTGACATCCTGAACTGAAGATAGCTCAAGGTCTCTCTGACCTCCCCCTCCTTCTCTGTCTCTCCCAAAGCACAGCATGAAGGTGCACTGATGTTTTCTTATCTGCCTAATTGTGGGACCTGACAGAAAACAGAACAATTACCTCTAGTCCCTTCCCTGAGTTTTTATTCTGAATTCATATCACAGAAAGAAGACTGAAGTCTGTCAACAAACCAGGACAGATATGTGTTACAACCACTGTCTGCTCTGGAAGCCCAACAAGGCCATTGTACAAGGCCATTGTGTGTTCTTCGATTCCCTTGAATTCCCTTAGAAATCATTTACTAACCCCCTATAATCATCCACGCTTCCCCATCTCCCTTTCCCCTAAAAAGTAGGAAATATAACCATCTGTTCCCCATTGTGCAGTATAATCACTATGTGATTTTTTCCCCTGTGCACATTAATAAATGTTTATGCCATTTCTCCTATTTAATCTGCCTTTGCCCTTCAGAGAGCAAAGAGGAAGTTTTCCCTTGACCCCTACACTATCCAAGACATTATCAGGACAACTGGTGAAATTCACATTGGATCTGATTATTAAATTGTAGTAAGGTAGCACTCCACATTCCTGATTTTGATGACGGTATTGTGGTTACGTTGGAGCACATCTTTTTTGTAGGAAATATATACTCAATTATATAATGAAAGATGATAGGTCACCAGATTGGAAATTTATTCTTAAATAATTTAGGAAAAGGAAAAGTTGTTTTACTGTACTTGCAACTTCTCTGTAAGTTTGAGATGGTTTGAGACGATATATATATATACACACACACACATATATATATACACACATATATACATATATACATATATATATTTAAACCACATCTCTCTCTCACACACATACACACACACACAGAGCATACATATGTATCGCTATTGTATCAACTGCAAAATCTTCTAATGGTCAGCCATGGTCTGATGCATTCTAACTCCAACTCACTTTCCAGTCTTATTTAGTCAATTCCTCAACCCAGTTCCCTAACCATACTGAACACGTGCATAGTTCCTTTTCTTTCCTCCCTCCCTCAAACTGTCACATCCTTCCTCCTCTCCTAACCTTAATCTCCATCTAATGAAATCTTACTCTTCTTCAAGGTCCATTCCCAAAGCCTTTTCTGATTCCCCTAAAGGATGTTACTCCCCCTCCTTTGTCTCTTTTGTGGCACTTTAATTATGTGTGTACCTGTGTCATTTTTCCATGACACGTCAGTAAAGATGTTGAGGGCTGGGACCATGTCTACTCCTCCCTGCAGACCTTCAGAGCACTTTCTCAGTATAAGCTTACACACTGAAAACACTCAGTTTAGATAATTATGTGGGATCTTCAGTATTTGTTGGACTCAGGACGTCACGTGCATATGAAGTCCTCATTACATTTCAGAAGACAGAAACTGCAATGTTATTTAGTTGCTTTTTATCTTTATTATTGTGACAATGCCAATCTTCCTAAGAGCCTGTAA